TTATGTGGACTCTGACTGTTCTCAGCTATCCCCTTTAAGCCCAAATACATTGAGATAAAGAGACCAGTTCAAGATCATTTCTTTCCTGCATGTAGACTTTTGTGTAGTGGCTTTTACAGGAAAACGTGATTTACACTGCAGCCATAATTCACTTTAAAGGTGTTTATGTCAGTATTCCTTTTTGAACATCAACACAGGTTGATGGTGCTTTTAAACACCTAAGCATTTCTCCATGGCTGGTGAGTCCCAGGTTATGGTGGTGCCTGTGACCAGTTGAGTGTTACCCATCTCTAACCTCAAAAATCTTACTCTTGGGCTGAGCTGCATTTTGTATTACCAGTAATCTTATGACTATATTGGAGTCATTCCTTTTGGTGTTGGTTGGTTGTCTGTGAAATAAAGGCATGGCTGATAACCAACCCATCGGATCTTAAATTCAGGAAAGATGTTGGTAACGTAATTCCTAATCTGTGCCGTAGGCAACATCTGTAAAATGTTTTTTGCAGGCCTCTGCTTTTGAAACCTGTAAGAGATGTGGAGCTCTCTAGTTACCAAAGATTGCTCAGTGGTAGCTTCTCTGTAGGCTATATTCAGTGCCAGGTATTTCAAGAATTGCATGATATTTGCTCCCAGGAGGTCTCTTATGATATCACAGTATACTAATCACATATGCTGAAGCCTGAATGGAAATGTCCAAAGAAGCAGGGAGGTATTTACCTTCCACAGACTGAAGTGTTTTGATAGATCACTGTCTGTCTGTCTTTCATGTTCCACTGTCCTCCTGTTCAAAGAGTCCATCTGTTGAAATTGCTGTTTGTGCACAACGGATGAGCAGGGCGTAATGTGTGTGCTACAGGCAGCTAACAGCAATCCCTGTGTAGCACAGTGGCACCTGCTTTAGGCTGAAATTCAAAGGATTTTGCCTTGAGGGTGGCAATAGATAACTCCTATGTAGCACTTCCAATTGTGGGGCTTCAGAGTGGTCTGGAAAAAGAAATTGGCAGTGTTATTCCCAATGTATGCCTGGCAGAAGATAAAAGCTGACTCTGGCCTTTATAGTCTCCCTGTGGTTTAGTTTGGGAGGATCAACAGGAAATAGGAAATTCAGAGATATCATTGCACTTTATGAATTTTCTACCAAACATGGAGTGATTTTTATAACCAAAGAAGAGTATTTTTACATAGTTTATAAGCTACAATGTCAAGAATACTTTGGGCACCTGAGCTTTTGGGGTTATTGTTTGTGCTCTGTAAGTATATTTGCAGTCTTTTATTCTTCTGAAGTACCTTTTAGGTATTAGGTGACTTGACCAAACTTCTGACCACACACAACATTTAATGTCTAATTGCACATAATGGAACAAGCTTCAATTTTTGCAGGGCTCACCATCAACCAAGAGGCGGGGGCAGATGTTACAGCCCATTATAGAAGGTGAAACTGCCCATTTTTTTGAAGAAATTAAGGTGTGTACAAGGCATATTGTAAAAATACTTCCCAGCACCTTAAAAGGGAACTGAAATATTTCATATACTTGGTTTGAATTTCTGCTTTGACTTTCAGGAAGAAGAGGAGGAAAGTGATGGTTTGTCTGCAGACCTGACCGATATCTTGAAGACTGCTGTCCAAACACAGTCTGTTTTAAGCCCAGTTGAAAACTCTGAGTCTGATGTTGAAGATGGTCAAGAGAAACTGACCCGGGACCTTCGGCTGTCAAGCACCCGTGCTGCTTCCATGTATGTGGAAAGAAGAAGTTCCTAATTCTAGTACAGAAGTTGCAATTACTGCACTTAGAGTCATGATACCAAGTGACATGTTCAGCACTTGTCAGGAGATGTTTGGCTCGAATGAGTGTTCAGACATGTCTGACTAAGATCTTTTTGTACTCAGTGTATTGTTTAGTATCTTCTAAACCTTCCTCAGCCTTACTTGAGCTGTGCAGACAGCAGAAAACTTACACCCTTTTATTAACTACTAGTTTGTTCTCAGTATTTCACCATCAGACAGGTAACCTATTCCTCATGAGCCAGACAAATTCACTCCTAGCGCAGCTCACTCTGTTGTTTTAGAGCATGCTTTGAAGAATTTGAATCTTATCCTATGGCCAACAGTATTTTTTCTTTCACTTGAAATTTTCAGGCCTGAATTATTGGAGCAACTGTGGAAAGCCCGAGCTGAGAAAAAGAAGCTACGCAAGACACTACGGGAATTTGAAGAGGAGTTTTATCAGCAGAATGGGAGGTGTGTTGAGCAGCAAAGTGTTTGTTTAGCATAGAAGCAGATGCTGGGCAGCAGCCTTGTTTTGTAGCCAAGTGTGTTTTTCAGTCTTCTATACTAATGTCGCCAGTGGAATCTGATCTGGTTTAATCTCTGCTATGAATAATCTGCTGAAGGAGATGACATTGGTGAGCGTTTTTAATAGTGGAGGAAGCTTGCTCCTGGGTTTAGTTTCCTCTATTGCAGTCTGTAAAGCACAATAATGAAAACAAAGAAGTGTGGGGGTTCCATTTAAAAAAAAATAACATTTAAAAATATTTAATAAGGATTTTTTAATATATCCCCCCTCTCCCCCAGGTTATCCCTCTGTTTCTAACCCAGGGCAGGGCAATTTGCCTGTTTGTCCTTTGTTCCAGTAGGATATTTGCTTCACCATTAAAGGGATGTATAATTTTTATTCTCAACTGGCAGACATTCTCACTTAACTGCACTTTTTACTGTATTTCTCCATAACTATAAACTCCTAAACCACTGGTCACACAGATTCCACTGGCATGGCTTCATCATGCACTTAATGCATTTGGGACATAACTCCTTTTGACTCTAATGGCAAATAATGAGGTTAATAAGGAAGGGTTACTTTAAAGTAAGTCAGATTAGTAGATTTTATTATAATTCAGTCTTAAATAAGAATGATTCCTAAACAGTGCTGCAGCAGTTGTGCTGAAGAAATGCTTCTGGGTTTTCTAGTCAGTTTTTTATGTGATGGCAAGTTTAACTAAAGTCTAATGTGTCTGTTACTGGTGAACAAGCTGTCAAAAATGTCTGTCTTCCCCAAGATAACTGCGTGTAACTGCTTTTGTGTTTGCTTGCTGCAGTGTGGAGGGTTTTCTTGCAACTCAGATGTGCTTCTTTTTGCAGGAACGTACAGAAAGAAGATCGGGTTCCAATGCTTGATGAGTACAGGGAGTACAAGAAACTTAAAGCCAAGCTTAGGCTGTTAGAAGTCCTTATCAGCAAACAAGATTCTTCAAAATCAATTTAAATTATATTCTTCCAACCCATTGAATAACATGATGTTTCCATATACTACCACTGTACTTATTGAGTGCTTGTGTTCATTTGTCATGCACTGTTGAAAGAATCCAGTTTGTGCACTTTATTGTGGTGCCACTCTAAGGTGTTTGAAGGGTAAGTAGGTCCTGTCTAGAAAGCAAGTAAGATTTCTAAGTTTGAGACTGCTCTATCCAACTTTAGCAAACACAGTTTCCATCAGAGTTTTGTCTAACAGATGCATCCATCTTATTCCAAAACCACCATAGCTTTGTTTTTTCTTTAGCATTCAAGAACTGTGAGACTTTTGTTATTACCCAACTTTTTACATTCTTGAAGAAATTCTTAATACCATAATGCTACACTGAACTATTCCTCTTGGCTGTTTTTTATTATGGGGTGGAAAAAAGTCAGCAAATTAAACGTACTGCTCTTTTTCCTTGGAACATTAAAAAACCAGACTGAAATTCCTTTTTCAAAGGACTGCTGTGGAACAACTTTTAAGTTTTGGTATTCTAAATTGCACCTGTAACACAGTAATAATTAACATCTAATGGATTTTGCTCAGTAGTGGTCACGTTTCCTCCTTGGTAAAGATGACAGTGGACAAACCAGAAAGTGACCTTCCTTAGTGTCTTTTAAAACTTGGAAAACTGAAAAGTTATATCACACGCTGCCTACAGGACTTTACATTACTGTTGTTCATGTTCTCATTTTATGGGTTATTGTTTCTCAACTAGTGGTGACATAGTGTTTTGTCTGAATTGGATACTGCATCTCCGCTTTCGGAAGATTTGAGGAGCATAAGGAACATTGCAGTGCATGGGAAATCTGATGGCGCTCAGAACTTGCGTAGCTCCAGCAGAAAAGAGCTGGCTTAGGACAGTTAAAATTCCATTGTACCTGAACTAAGTGTGGTATCAAGGGCTAAAATCAGTGTAGTGAATGTGCACCACAGGGTGAACTGTCAGGTTTGAGTGAAAAAGTGACTGCTGTTTTTCACAGTTTTGTTTTACAGTTGGAGAATAAAACTAAGTTATCTAACCTTACAATGTAAGCAAAACAGTTTATGGGCCTTGCATGATTTAGCTTCAGAGTTGAAACTAAATGTTTTTAAGTATCACATCTGCTGTGCTGAATGATGATTTAGCTACTAGCTTTACGCTCTGCAACAGCCATCAGCAGCTGGTTTTGATCTGGCAAAATCTAAATGTTCATTTTTAACTGGTGCTTTCTCAGTTCATTTTCTTTTTCCTTCAGTGTATGGGTTTGATTGTGGCCACATTTTGCATGCACCTACTCTCACTGCATGTTTTTATGACTGGCTAATGCCAACACAGCTATTATTCACACTGCTTTCTGAAAGACCAAAAATGAACTTTCTCACCACAGAAGAAATGGCTAGCATGTAACCTCATAGACTTGCTGTTCTGTCATGAAGCATATGAAATAGGTTGGAAGTAGGATTTTTTTAGTGCTCAGATTTCATCTGTGTACTGTAGAATGCTTCTTGTTTTGTTTTACTCTGCTTGTAGGCATGGAATTTTGGAATTCAACAAAAGAAAAAGCACTAAAACTATTGAGCACTGGTGATATGCTTTGGTTTGGTTTTTTTTTAACTGCAAAATGATCTGGGACCTTAAAGAATGATGAGGTTAAACTAGTCTGGAGACCATTTCTCAATTTTCTTCACTTCCATTGTGCAATGTACACTTCAGTTACTTTTCTATCAGTCTGCAGACACGGGTGTATCCAAACATTGAACCTAATGTGTACTGTATAGTGTTGTACATGAATGTTTGTGTTTTATATACCACATGCAAAATGTCAATATGCACTATTTAAATGTTTTAAATAATATATTCCTCCTTTATAATGCTTAAATCTATATGATTCCAATATTTTTATAAGTGAGTGAGTGATCAGACTGGTTCCAATTCAGAATTAACAGCTGCTTTGTGTTTGTTATGCAGTGTTTGGCTGTTTATTCAGTATAGTAGATAAGCATGGCAACAGTTATGCTGAGTGTGTTTTGTGCCATCCTTGTTGAGCAATAAATAAATGGTAGAACTAGGCATTTTGTGATATAACAGGTTTACTTTGGTAAAAACAAAACCCTATATATCTATATGGATATATAGATATGGAATATATATAACTAAACCAGATATAATTGCATTGCTATGTCTGGTGCTCCTTGTATAGACTTTTATAATAAAAGTACCTTAACCTTTATTGTCATATATCTTTGTTTCTTATCATGCTTTCTCCTCCACTGCTATCTCTTCAAAACGAGTGCGAGCCCTTCACCTTTCCTGGACCTATTTGTAGTTTCAGGGTGTTGCTGAGGCAGGTCCTGCCAGCAGAGCCACGAGTGCTGGTGGTGGCTCAGTGCTGAGACAGCTCTTGGTGAAGCTGCAGCAGTTTAAGCCTTACTTCACCGTGTTCACATTGTGCCTCTCAGCAGAGCCAGCAGGGAAGTGACCAGATCAGCTCCCAGACCAGCTCATGTGCATGTGGGCTTCAGTTCCTGCTAGGTGCCAGCCTGCTGCGTGGTGATGTGGCAGCAAACTGTGAGTCTCGCTCATTTCTGCTCCAACAGTAGCAATTTGGGAGTAGATGGGGCAGGGAGCTAGTTCAGCCATTATGGGCTAATGAATTCACTGCCAGTGAGCACATGTCCACTGCTGAGCAGTATTTGGTTTGGTCTCTGGATCCATAACGATGCCTGTGCCTTAAAATCGGTATCACAGCAGTTGTGTTTGTGGCCAGGAAGCACTGTTACTGCACACGCTTCTGTAAACCAAGAGGATGCTTCTCCTCTGGACCAAACAGATTTTTATTTTCATGGTTTATTGATGTAAGTTTATATGAAAAGTAATTGAGGTCTTTTGAACTGACTCTTCTGTTCTATTTTGTGTAAATCCACCTTTCTTCAGCCTAAGGCCTGGCAGGGAAAGAAGAAGAACTGAAGGTGGGGACTCTGGTTGTGTGGCAGTGCAGGTAAATGGGAACAAGAAAAACAACTAGGAAACTGAGGGAGCAAGTGAGGGAGAGGAGACAGAAGGCAGCTGCAGTATGTGTTCTTCAGGGCATCAATGACTTTGCTCCAAAGAGGGGTGGAAAGAGCACAAATTCTTTGGATACTGGCTCGAACCAAGGAGGTTGCTGCAGATCTGTTCTCCAGTCCTTCATTTTTCCTTAGCATTATTTATTCAATGAAGCTTGCTCTCATCCGGGTGGTAATGAGAAGACAAAACCCCTTCAAGTAGTGGTTTAGTGGGAACTGCTTCAAATCCACGTGCAAGGAACTAAGAAAGATTCTAGTGAAGGAGAACAGCCCTGTGTTGAACAATCTTAGAGGAGAAATGGCTATTTTGGAGGGTGCAAAAAGCTCAGTGATAGTGGGACAGGTATTCCTTGCTGAAGAACCAGTTCTGGGACAACACAAATCGATAGTATTCTGAGATTTACCTCTTTAAACAGGTTTGCTTGAGCCACTATGTTACTGCAGGGCAAGGAGCTTGCTGGGAAAAGCGAGGCATACTATAAAGAGGGTATCCTGTGCCTCAGAGGAGTAGAGCAAAGCTGAGGAGTGCTGGAAAGCTCTTTGAGGAAGCTCTGGGTAAGTAACTGTGTCTAAAGGGCTTGAGACTTCTCTGTACAAGGGGTTGCCAAGTGGAGGAAGGGTTGGACCTGTCAAAGGTGCAATGTGTCTGCTTTCCTGCCCATCAGGCTATTGAGTGATCAAGTAACACAGGTCAGCGATCTGTTTTCCTGCAACAAGTGTCCTGGGATCCTGCATGGCAACAAGAACCTTTTGGAAGTGAGGGGAAAGAGGTGTTTTACTTTAAACTGGACCCTTTTAGAAGAGAGAGGATGTGTTGGCTTGGCAGGAGAGTGAAGTGCAAACTCAGTGAACCCTAGTGGGCAAACTACGCTGTGCCAGTGGGCTGGAGCGATCTCTGGGTGCCTCAAATACCTGTCTGCTTCCTTCAGGACACAGCTCTTCCACACTATGGTTAGATGCAGAGAGACCTGAGACCATGTAGTAGCCAGATAGTGCTCTGCAGGACGTAAAGCTTTACAATATTATAAATCCATCTAGGATTTATACAAGATATATCTATATATATATAGATATATATACACACACACACTTTGGAGGCTGGGGTTTGCATATGGAGATGTATAGCAGAACATCCCGGGGCAGGGAGCGTGTGGTGCAGGTGGGTTGTTGCAGCCTGGTGCTGGCCCTGTGTTTTCTTGTGGTGTGCTCAGATGGCATTTGTACATGTGCTTTATTTCCTCCTATTATTGAGTCCCAAAAATGAACAAATATTAATGGCTACACGGGACTAGAGAGCTTCTGGCCTGAACATAAAACCTTGTCTCTAAGGCAACGGGTGTATGTGGCTGTGGGAATAAGAAGGTTGGTTGGAACATCGTGGCTGGTGCAAGAGCGAAGCAAAGGGCCCTCTAGTGGTTCACAGTAAAACATTTGTTTCCTAAAAGAAGAATTCTGTTTCCTTCTGAAGGCAACAGAAACCTGTTCTGGAAGCAGCAAGTGCCTGGAACAAGAATTGCTGAGAAGTAAGTGTTAACCTTGGCAGTTAATGCAGAGGCACTAGCAAAGTGGTCTGGGAAGTGAGAGCTAACCCATGTGCTGGTGACTGAGGGTTGCACTGGGCTACACAGGGCCAGGGAGTGAGAGGAGGCTGTGGAGCAGGCCTGGAATGTTACCGTGGCTTCTGATCTGCTCTTTGGGTTACAGATCTGTGTCTCACAGCAGCCCCCAAACAAGGCACAGGAATCGACGTACAGGCACCTGCAGAGATGCCCACCCAGAACTCCAGCAAGGCTGCTCAGTTCTCAGGAGTTAAAGCACCACCTGAAGCTCTAAGAGAAGAGACCCAGAAGCAACAATGGTTATTTTTAAATAATATCTTTATTAACATTCCTG